TACTCGGTGAAAAATGACTACTTAAGTAGCATGCATTTTCCACTGATTTTCGATGGTTTGTCAAATTCAAATATGTCTTATAGAAACCGCAAACAAAAATATGCTTTCTTTCAGTCAATTGATAGTGAATCACGCCTTCTTTATATTTTATACTCAAGGAAGAAGTATAATTAGGTTTTAAAAAGTTTTCTAATTGCCGAATAATTTGGAGCCTGATCATTCGTCACATTAGCTCTTAATGAGTTCAGTCTAGAAGGTGCATGCGTTCCGCGTTAAGAAAATCAAATATTTTTCTATGCCATGAAAGAGATGCCATAAAGAGTTAATAAAGTTTTGCAATGGGTGCGGACTATGTTGCACATTTCATAAAGAGCAGTGGTAAACGTACAGGTACGATGCTATGTGAACAGACATTGCGCAGTCTTGAAAAATCTCATAATTAGAAACTATTTAAAACCCAATTATACTCCTTCGTTGAATATAAAATATAAAGAAGGCGTGATGTTCTATCAATTGACTGAAAGAAAGCATATTTTTGTTGGCGGTTTCTATAAGATATATTTGAATTTGCCAAACCATCGAAAATCAGTGGAAAATTTTATAAGATTATGCCGTAAGTTAGTCAGTATTAAAACCGCGACTAAGTAATCCTTCCTAATCGAAAACGCATTTCAGAATTGCAGCCAACATTTCGTGAGATCGGTCACTCATTGTATGTAGACCAGGGCGCCTGAATGGATCGCAGGGCTTAGGGAACACAAGACCATATGAACCGAAACGATAGGAAGAGCTTATTTACCTCCACCAGGACAGTCTGCGCGGCCGCACCAATACAGCCGCGCCGCTGTTCAGCCGCAACGGAAAAGCACTCACTGCAGATAAAAAAAGTAGATTCCGGAATGTTTGGCTGAGTATTTCAGAACTGCCTTCAACCGCTCACCCGCAATCACAGACACTGCCATTGATCAGCCCTTCAAAATGGAAACTAATACCGATCTGGATCATCCGCCTTCCCTTTCTGAAACAAGCAAAGCCGTGCAACAGCTCTTCAGCGGGGAGCACTGGGATATGATGCGATTCCGGCCAAAGTCTACAATTACAGATGCTCCCGGATGATGGAAGAACTTACGGCGATATTCCAGGAGACGTGGCGGCAGGGACAGGTCCCTCAGGACTTTAGGGACGCCAGCATTATGAACATCTACAAGCGCAAGGGCAACCGTAAACTCTGCGACAATCCCCGAGGCATTTAACTCCTCAGCATTGCCATGAAAAATTCTGCCCACGTCCTCCTCAATTTCTTGAAATTCTTCTTGGACATGGAACTCTTTTTAGAAAGTCACTGCAGATTTCAAAGCCACAACATCATCGATATGATTTTTTCGCCCGTCAACTGCAAGCGAAATTTCAGGAAATGCGGACAAGCCTCTACACCACCTTCGTGGACTTAATGAAGGACTTCGATACAGCCAGTCGCAAAAAAATTTGGGGAATCGTGCTGGGATTCGAATTTCCGGAGAGATGCACACACATGGTACGCCGTCTGCATGACGACCTGGTGGCGCCCATCACGGACAATGAGGCAGTCTTGGAAGCATCTGCATTGCGTAATGGAAGGAGGCAGGGCTGTGCAATCGCCCACACTCTCCTCAGTCCCAGATTCTCCGCTATGGTTATAGGCGCCTCTCGTGAGCAGTGGTCAGGGATCAACATCGCCTGCCGGCTCGGCGGACAACTAGCAACGCACAGCGCGCTCAAGCAAGCTCAAGAGTATCCCAGACCTGCATCCACGACCTGCTGTTCGCGGTCGACTGTCTACTCAATAAAACGAACTAGGTGGCCATGCAAAGGAGCATAAACATTCTCGGTTCCGACTGCGTCAACTTCGACTGACCGCCATCACAGAGAAAACATTTCCTATGCATAAATCGGCGTCACACGATCACCACCCCTAATACCACCATGGCGGGTGAGAACACTCCCGAATCCTGTTAACCAGCAGCCTTACCACTGCCGTCCCCACAACCATCAATGCGGACTCGATTTTAACTTGTCCTCATTGTGATTGTACCTTCACATAACGCATAGTGCTCGGCGGTTAATAGCAATACAACGCACTAAAGCCCACAAACCAATGCCCCGATCCCAAATATACCTTCGCCACACCCAGCTTAACTGCCCACACTGCCTACGATCAGTCAGCCAGCACGTGGGACTACTCGGGTACAGGCTTGTCCAATGCGACGAATTCACCGCAATGCTGACATCCTGACGAAACCTTGCACACTCATCAACTAACTCATCTCCAGGACTATCAAAATCACTCTACCAGGGACACCACTGCAAGCACTATCACCTCAAATACAACAGCTGCCGAGCTATCCACCCTATATTGATACCGCATACGCAGTAGACCACCGCAGACCAAACCCCATCACCACACAGCACTCCAATAACACATACACCACACTAGCCTCTACCACATTACCAATCACAGGCATGTAATTAACACCTATCAGTTAAGTGAAAAGTGCGTTCTTCGGCTCCTTCTTCATGAGACCTCTATGGCACACCAAAGAATGCGGGATCTGAGCAGTCCACTCCGTTGTGTGTAAACCCGGTGTGCTGTGCGGGGGGGGGGCTAGGTCGTGTGAGGGATAGGCAGGCGGGCTATGCAGCTATCAGCCACTTGCGTCGAATCGCCACATCAGGCGACCAACCGGCTCCTACTGATGCCTGGAGAAGGGAAGGGGGTGTGAGGTCAACTCTGCGGACTCCGTCCGCGCGGCACTCAACGAATTTCCCCAGTACAAAGAATCTGACGCGTTTTTAAACTACCACCGCTAGCTAAAAGCCATAGTTTGGAAGGCTGCCAACTGGTGGGATAACTCGGTTAGACTCCTACTTACTGTGGCCTTTATGGCACTCCGATTCAGTTGGGATGCACGTTTACTCCTTTTCTGTGAAATCCTGGCACTTTGTGCGCCGACCGGGCGTTTGTGCTACGCGAAGGCGGGTTGTTTAACTATTTTAACTGCCTGTATCTGATGCAGTCTCACGTTTCTTTAAAAGTCCTTCATGACGTCCTGCTCAGGTGGGTGACAGAGGAAAGAGCGCGGTAGATGCAGTGCTCGTCTGCTATCACTACAAGACAATTCGCACACAAGCCACCGCCACTGTGCCCACAGTGGCGTGGGGCACATGGTGAATATACTTATTTACTATGATCGGACTGTGATATATGTTACAAATGGTGAAATTTGCAGGAAGGCAGACAAAGAACGTTTGTCATCCTCTTTTATGAATACTTATGGGCCTCCAGGTATGTAAGCGCCTGCTATACCATGATTCAATAGAACGTGGCCCTCGCAGCCTGCTGTGCGTTGGCAGTTCTCTGGCACCTGGTTCCCTGTTGGTAGATGCACTTACGCTTCCGCTGGGTATACAGACTATGCGCATGGTTGCTCAGTGTCATGTGTCATCACCTCCTCTTTTTACCCCATTTATAAATCCTGGAAAAAACTCCAGCATATTTTTCCAATTAGTTTCTTATCTAAATCTATAAAAGATCTTTTAATGGAGAAGGGGAGACTGGCCGCTCATTTGAAGGCATTTAAAGGATGGATTCAGAGTTGACGAAACGGCTATCCAGATGTCCTCTTCTATTCCATTACCCAGGTGCCTTCCTTCATGGAAGTCTTGATAGGTGTTGTCCTTCAAATTCCCCTTCGTAGATTTGAGCTGTAATGTAACACACTTATCAGCGCCAAATTCAAGCAACCATTAATCCAACAATTTGCATAGGCGGCTAAATCCACTTGTAGGCTTCGTTCTTTCTTGTTGCAGTTGATCACCTCCCATTGTTTCTTATCCTCCACAACCCTGACTCCCCTGCGGTCCAGCCCTGTTGTGGTACTCCGCTCCTCCGATCGTTCCCTAGGACCGCCTGTTCATGTCGCTCTTCTGTCCTTCTCACGGCCCCTGTCAATTCGCTGCTGGATCCGCGCAAGACTTGGCACCAAATTGTCGACAGCGCAGGATCAATCGACGCTCCGTCCTCCGCTGATTCGTTGCAGGCAGACAAAGCACATATGCGCATAGATTAGGACCTTAAAACCTCAACCCATACTCAGGTAGCGAGGACACTGGCTGCAACTGCTCGCTGGACCTCATGTACACTTTCTAGCCCCAGTAAAACTTGTCCAACCTAAACTGTCTGCCCTGACTTTTCGAACTAGCGCACCGTGATACTGTCATGCAGTCAGGAACATAGACCAAAGACGATAATAGCACAAGAATAGACCCCTGAGGTGCTACACTCACAACTGGCACTGATTTCGAATTTCCAGTGCACACAGACTGCGATCGGCCAATCGTGAAGTTCCCTGCTGAAGTCAGTGGACTTGCACGTATCCAAATTCTCGGACCTTGCAGAGCAATCGGCGATGTGGGACACTATTAAAGGCCTTCTTGAAGTCGAATAATACAACCTCGATTCTTGTGTCTTCCTCTAATGCAGGAGACCACTGCTCCATCCAATAGAATGCACTGGTCAAACAGAAGCCGTTTTGTCGAAGACCGTTTTGTACACTGTCAGGGACGTCGTTTACTTTGGTAAACATAAGTGTAGTTTTTGATGATCTTTTCATTATTTTGTGACAAATACATGTTAGATCCGCCGGCTTATAGCTGTCAGCACTTGTCCTGGGTCTATGCTTGTGAATGGGACATATACTCGCCATCATTATGTCAGAGGAGAGAATGCCTCAATCAACAGATCTCTGAAAAGCATGCGAATGTCAACAGGAGAATTTGCAAACATGCTTTCTCAATACTTTTCCCTTGTTTTGGTTTTGGCCTGACACTTCTACCCGTCCCTTCTCCACAGCTCCTTCTGAGAGATCGATGGTTTCCACGACTACATCTTTATTTACAGTAGGGTCTTAAGGTATGCAAGCATCTGCTATGCCATGATTAACAAACCATGGCCCTCGCAGCCTGGTATGCGCTGGCAGTCCTCCGGCACCTGGTTCCCTGTTGGTAGATGCACTTACGCTTCCGCTGGGTACACATGTCGTGAGCATGGCTGCCCAGTCATCCTCGTCTTTCTGACCCGTTGTAGTGCTGTTGTTGTTGTTGTTTAAAATCCTGGTCAGGTGTTTGCTGTGTACCGGGAAGTGCGATGGTGTGCTTAGGTGCGGGTCCGGCCGTGCCAGCCACCTGCGCCCTCCACCGCCTTAGCTCCTCTTGACTATGCCTCGACAACGGGCCCAGGTTGGGAAGGAGAGAGCGCGGCAGAGGTTACGCAAGCCTACTCTCACTATGAACCCATTCATGCGCAAGTCACCGTGCCTGCTTCACCTTGCTGTGGCGCACTCGGTGGACATCGTTGGGCACGACGATCGAACTGTCAGGAATACTTCTAAATGCATTTCCCAGGGGTTTTGTTGTTTTTGATTTCTTCCATAGTTCTGTATTTTCTTTATTAAATAGGCAAATTTTTGTATATAGAAAAACACGTTCACGTAATTTTCGTAGAGCCAGAGGTGGTTACCTTGGCATAGGTTCGTTTAGCATACGGCAGTTCGACCGTCTATTTCGATGATGCTCGCCGTGTGCTCCACAACCAAATGAGGGCAGGGACGGTGACGTGCGTGTGAATTGGTTTATAATGGCAGCAGACTTGCACAGCGTCTACCGCACTCTCTGCTCCCCCCCTGGGCTCCTATATAACAACTAGAAAGAATCCGCGGTCTTTTTTAGTTTAAGCAGACTGCAGTTACGCATGTAAAGTATCATAAATTCTCTTTTAGAGTGCCTTAGGTTTGACCCCTAAAATGCCGACTGTGTGACACTTGATTTTTGCCTCATAAGCTTCTCAACTATCTCCTAAATCTGCCTCTTCCATGGGTTGCCTAGGAATTTTCAATGTTGCTGAAGGTAATGTACGATCTTAGTTGTATTTTGAAAGTCAGAATTTCATGTACGTAGGTCTCTGAATGGCACCTGGTAAGTGACTTGGGTCATTTCTAATTTAACGCATACTAAAAAATTGAAGCAAAAACTGTCCAGGTAATTGAGATCATACAAAGTGAAATAGGACGTATTTTAACACACACGATAAGCTAGATTTTATGATAACAAACAGTAAACGAGTATTAAAAATAACAGGCTTCATTTCGATGTACAGACGGAAGCAGGTAGTATAGTTTGCCTTCATAATTTTGCGTTTTTCTCTCTGCAAGCGAACCCTTCTGTATTTATAGTCAGAGTGGGCCCTCTCGTTAAACTCCTTATGAGGACTTACAACATACTGTGAAAGGAGCGTTGTCCGTCTCGCGCTGGTTGAGTGATCATCTGGTAAACATACCAGCCACTGGCTAACGACCCGTCTACTTCATTTATTGAATAAAGCATCCAGTTTGGAGTAACATTATACTTCCTACCCATTTTTTGTCAATATCTGCCGCATTTAGGGGTTGCAATCTATTGCTGCTCCACCTGTCATCACAACACGCCGCTACCACTGGCAGCGCTAAAGAGGACGCTCCTATCGTACTACAAAGTATCGCCGCCACTGACTCTACCATCATCAATGTGGTTTCAATCAGAACCTGTGCTTGCTGTGGTCACATCTTCACGTCACACAATATTCTGATCAGTCACTTGTAAATCCATCGCAACTGAGACCGACGAATCAGTACTAGGAGTTCTGACAAGCATCCATTATTTACATCTCATCTGTCCACAATGCCACTAGATATTTAGACACTGACTGAGTCTTTTCGGTCAGATGCTGGGGGATTCACCACAATGTTGCCGTGACTGGCCCACCTCCTGCACTCGAAAGCCCCACTACGACCAGCATTGCCAATTTTACCACCAACAGGATCGCCACTATTATCGGTGCAACAGTCAAAGCCCCTTCACGTTCTTGCTGTCACCGCAAATCCGCATGACGCATCGGTCTGGTCGGTCACTCCCGAATCCATTTTAACTGAGACAGGTAAACCAGTGAGCGAAGCCGTAACAGGCATCCTTCTCACACGTCTCACCTGCCCACACTGCCGAGGGACATTTGGTCATCGCATGAGCCTTTCCGACCATATGAGTCTTCACACAAATCTTCGATAAAACACTACACTCGTGACCCTACTACCATACCTGTCCTACCTGACCACACAAATGTGTCTAAGTCATATATGAACCTCCTCCAAATCACGAGTCACGCCCCGTAGCTGTTGTAAGTTTTTACAGCCAGAGGCATACTATTCGCTTCGCAGTTTCACGAGTGGCTGGCGAAAAGCGCCTTATCAAAACATTCACGTCCTATGTAAGCTCGGTCCGCGTTCTTTTGTGGCGACCATGTGATGTGTGGCACAAAAAGGTGGGAACACTGGCTGACAAAATCAGACAGTGTTCCCAATTCTACTAACAGCTCAAACAGTCGACTAGTGTGAGGGAGTGGAGATAGATTTAGGCAGATCAGCAAGTTGTTCACTGCGATAAATCTGACACGCTCGTATCTGTCATGACGCAACAAGAGTTGTAGTTTAGACGGCTGCCGATTGACAGGATAACCGGGTTTTCACGGTCAGTACTGTGTGAAGCTGAGGTGACTGATTGAGGTACTGAGAGTCAGACTGTGTGACCGACTTTCAACGTGGTCTTCATGGCATTCTTACTGTTGCGAAATCGGACCCACACTCAAAGATTGCCTGGTACATGCCTCGGGAATCAGGTCGTATATGGTGTGTGCATGGACGGAGTGTATAGCCCTGTCAGCCACACTGTCTTGCCAGTAAAGCCTGGTAGATGGGGGAGGAGAAAGTGCGATAGATGCTGTGAAAGTCCGCCTTTCTACGAAGTAATTCACGAGAGAGCCATCGGTGCTGCGCCGGTCCGGTGTTAAGACAAAGTCAAGCAGACCGAAAGTGCGAGAGGACGCAGGCGGCTGGCACGACGTAAACCCCGACCTAGGTGTACTACCACACCCCCTAGGCCACCACATACAACTGACCAGGACTCTGCACCACAAGAAAAAAGGGCGACTCGGATCCCAAATGGCGTGACGTGGGTCCACATCTGGGTGTGCCGCACACCCAGGTGTGGACATTTCCTGTGGGTGTGTATTCTCAATAATACTAGCCGGGACCCCGATCGTGCCCCGTGTTGGTCCAGCGCATCTACCGCCGGGTTCTTGTTATGGGCACGATTACATGTGCATCCATAAACACAAGTTGAAGTAACGTGCATTGGCAAAGTAACCTGCAACGCTCCAACAGAACCAGTTTTAGTACGACTGTCAAACACAAGCTGGGCCGCATCGAGAGTCCTCTCAACCACGCACCGTAACCGCCATTTCATTGTTTCTAAAACCCTATCATTCTTAAAGGCCATCCATGTCTAATGGGCTTTTTCGAAGTCACCATTTGCAACCGGCTCAAGAAAGCAAGGGACCGACCAAAACCCCAGTGAGCGATCTGACGCAGTATATGATATCCGGTGTCAAAACTGCTGTTGTAATTAAATAAGTGAGGTTTGATGAACGCTTGGATAGCACACACACACAAGCACAGGGTGACGAATTATCACAGCTGCTTGTCCACACCTCTGTAGGAGGTCAGAAGTTCAAGTTCACGGTCACTAACACCGCTGTTCATACCGGGGCCTGTGGCGCGGGCTCAGTCAACCGACATGTTGGATTCGTGTCGGCGCACTCCTCTTCATAATAGAAACACTGGTTGTTGATCGGATAGAGCGCCCTGTAGGTGCCGCTTGTCGGTTCTAGCTGTCGCCTGACGATGGACTATTTGAGAAGATCGAAGGTGCGGAAAACCAACTAGTCCCGGTGCTGGACCAGTTTCCATCATCCTTACTCGAACGTGTGCCCCAGACTCGAATACTTATCTCGTTTTGTTGGATTTAACTTCTTACTTACTTGAATAGGGTTACACAGAAGGGGTCGGTGATAACATGAAGTCAGATTGATGAACTCCTGACCGGAATCTCTTAATACTTTGACCTCTTCTTTTAAACTGACATGAATGTTGGACAGGAGGCTAGGTCGAGGGTATCTTAATGAGCTGCAACGTCCAAACTGGCTTGCACAGTTTCGGAAGCGTAAAAAACACAAAAACCACTGAAATGTGAAGAGGGAACGCCACGTTCACGAGGACTAGCTACGTCCGGTTCAGTAACATTCGTGTCCTCTTCATCCTGACCTTCAAAGTCATCGAACGGATCACAAATGAGGAGGTCTAGAACCGGTCGTAGAGAGAGATCAAATTCTCCTCCATCACCTCTTTGGAGTCAACAGTTGTCACATACCGCCTTATCAACACGAGAACAGTCTTTTCCTTCGCGGACAATGCCTTCTCAGTCTATGCCATACAGCACGCCAAATGTCAACGACCTGCCAGAACTGTTGTATCCTAGTCATCCTCGCTGGCAAGTTCACATGAGGATGGCTACAACATCTTACAGCAACCCCCCAAGTTATTTCAGTTAGTCCAGCATATTATCTTTCGAATATACTTATTTTCGGCCGTCAAGAATACTTACTTCGTGGTGAACACGGTGATGACCGTTCCAGGCACCTAGTCACTTTTGTGGCTTCCACCAAACAACCTCCGAAGACCCTGCTGCACTACCTCGTGCAAGAGCCCCATTTGAGTCGTTCTGATAAAAGCGGTCGTCTCAGGATGAGGCATACTTTCAAATTTATCTAATCAGGGTATTGGGATACAGGAAACAACGGTCAAACCTGACGAAAGTGTTAGAGCTTTACTTCAGTCGCCAATGTTGGTAGCTCGCTCTTCCAATGGCATGACTGCAAAGGCATTCTGGGGTGGAATTTCTGGTGCGCTCTATTGTGCTATAACTGAGGGGCTATGGAAGCGTTCATTATTGGTTCTGCAAGATATACGGCAACCAATATCAATTTGGTAAATGGGCACGCACCGATCGCGCTATCGAACTCACTCGGGCAAGGGTATGATCTCTGGACGGAGTTACTTGCTCCGGAGAGCAATTATATTAAAAGAAAATGATTGACTATACTTATTTTTACGTGCCGGAGGAAGAAGTAAAAAGACCTTGCGGTGGCAGTTGAGTAAGGGTGGTCACCGTAGTAAAAATACAATAGTGCAATGCCTTTTTTGAAAATGCCTGTAAAGGGGCATCAGAATTCATTTACTATTATCACTGAATGGCAAAAGCAGGGTCCCCTTTTAGTCAATGACAATATGGAAGACCGAATTTGTGGTACCACAAAGTTCTTAGATGTTCGACCCTTTTGCTCAGCACAAATGATCCCCGGAGTAAGTAACCATTGCCCTCACTCGTCCCCCGTTGTGCCTTGGGGTTTTTCCTCGAGCCCTGCCAGCGGCCGCACAGCGGCGCGTAAGATAGACAGGATGGCATTGCCGGCAAGGACACTGGAGGCCGGAATAGCCATTCCTGACTTATTAGCCATCCTCAGCCAGCCGTAACCGACCTCGAGACGTCCACCACTCGGGGCTCGAAACCACGACCTATTGGTTAGGAGTTCGACATAATAACCACTAACCAACAGGTCACGAGTTCGATCCCCGAGGGCTGCGCACCTCGGGGTTGGGTACGGCCGGCTGATGACGGCTAATAAGCCGGAGGTGGCTACTCCAGTCTCCCATTTCTTTGTCGGCTGTGCTGTTTTGCCTAGTATCCATTTACAGGGTTTAGCAGTATCTTTCTGTTTAGTGAAGATGATTCTTATCCAAATTCCTTCAGTTGCTGACCTGCTACCAGCTGAGATAAGCAGCCGGTAAAATAGTCAGAGGAACCACAAGGTATTGACGTCTGTAGAAACAAAAATAACTAATATCTGTGCCTGAAGCCGGTGCCACTGATTAAAGAGTATGTGCTGCAGTAAACTGGCTGCGAGTGTACTTTCCAAAATAAATGTACTGGCTAACACATCTCTTCATATCATCGAGTCGGTCAGAGCACCCAGTCACCATAAACACTCACTGGCGGTTATAGACAAAGCTGATTAAAAGGCCTTGTTTGCCAGCCTGTATGTAGCTTGAGCCTGGTCGATTACACTACTTTCTTCACTTCTAAGTGTCAAAGCTGTTTTTTGCTATAGTGCAGTAGAAAAGAAACCCATGATCTGCCTGGAAGGTTTTTTCCCTAAATTAAAGATTAACCACATGAAATAGCCTCCTCGGCTGCATCTACGCGTTCTTATTCTTTTACATAACGCAGTCCATGTGGCGTGCCCCGAGACGATGCAATCTATGCTGCCGTACTTGATTTGCACCAAGAGCCAGGGTGGTCTTCTGTTTATTCCATTAATTGAAATTTAAATACACTCTTGGACCTCAGGTCAGCGTCTTGTCGTGTTTTCATCACCTATGTTAGCGATCAGACGTCGGCCTGTCCAAACGAGGTCATACCTGGTCGGAGTTAATCCCGCAATCACGCAAGACCCCGACTGATCGCTATGGTATGTTCGTCAGCGCACACATATATAAGAACCGATGTTCCAGTCGAGGTGGTTGGAGACGGTGCTTAGATTAATTTACGATGTTTTCGATCAGAATGAAGGCTAGGTGAGAATCCGTAAACCACATCCACAAAATATGCACGTCTGACTTCTGTCTGTTTATTTACACATACTACCTATGACTGTTTGTCCGTCGTTTCTTCTGCAGGCTTGTTCGGAGACTTTGTGAGAGTCGTTTCCAAAGCACCAGCATCTCGACACAAAGACGACCGTCCCAAACACGGAGCGAGCTCTCCAAGGCCAAGAGAATTGTCCTTAAGCTGGGAAGTGCGGTAGTGACTAACGAGAACCAAGGTGGGATCGCGTTGGCACGTGTTGCGAGCATTGTGGAACAAATCGCGGAACTGACCAAACTAGTAGGTTTTACACTGTCGTTCACTTACCAATACTGGCTATTTCATGTTTCTGGAGGCACTATACCAGTTTCCCTCGGAAGTAATGCTCGTCATTAATTTTCTGAAGTGCCTTGTTTTTTCGAACAGCAATTAAAACCTTGCCAATCTTTTACTCTTTCCTGGCTATAAATAGAGTTCATTCTAATTAGAGTCTGTTGTTCAGAGCGTAAGTGGTTACTGCTTTCTCTCCAGAATCCAAACCTCCAGAATTTATTCGGAAGAAATCTGAAGATCTGGATGGCCAATTGATTTGATTCATGGTTTCGTGGCAGCCGAGTAAATTTGCCTTAAGTTGTTGGCGAGGATACCGATTTTAGTCTTTAACCATTGAATGTCTGTCTTGTAAATGCCTATTTTACATGGAATCACAGGATACAAGAGTTGTTGCAGTAGGCAAAATGCCATTTCAGGTTAGGATTGATGTTGCAAAGGATAGCTTTTTCGATAGTTATAATGGGAGGGAGTCCGAGTATGGGAGACAAAAGCCCAACCTGCTCTTGTATTCCGTCATTTTGATGCAAACTGACGTTTATTGGAAGAAACTCCAAATAGGTATTGTAGGTGCGAAAACGGTGTAAATCAAGAGGCCTTAAAAAGCACCACATAGGGATCCCATTTTTTTCTTTCCATATTTTACCTTCAGGGCCGTGAGTGCACTTTGGTTACCAGCGGGGCCGTGGCGCTCGGGCAAGGCCGGGTTGAAAACTCGCCAAAAGGAGCAAAAGCTGCACTGGGCATGACAAAGCTCGTCGGCATTTACAGTCAACTGTTTGCTCACTGCGGCCTTGAGAGCGCAGCGGTAAGTAATAATTTACACAGTGCTTACATAAATTGCTCCTCCTCTGTCTGTGGGTTGTCTTTAGTCTAAATGCTTCTCTTCGTACGCCCCACAACTTCTAACGGGTTTCAATACGTTGATAACCTCTGCTCAGAAGGGCCTGGAAACATAAAGCTGAACAGATACTCTTTAAGCGCTTTTTAGTTAACTGTGCCTTTTGCAATGAGACATTCCACCTCGCACCTAGTAGCTATCATACAAAACAAAAGGTGGAGGAAATCCTTCCGTACATATACCAAGAGGAATAGGACGTGGAAGCTTATTGAGTCGGAAGGCAAATTCCGGCCGGATAGTCTTTGTGAGACGCAGTTACGCACGCATGCGCGTACATAATACTTAGAAGTCGAACAGACCAAATGGCCGTGGCAAATGTAGACATTAAAGTGGCTGCGACCATAAAAAATGATGCAATTACTCCTTCTGCGTCAGTGGTTAAGTGCGGTTGACATTAAATGTGAACGTCAAAAGGGGATATGATTTCCTGAATACACTCCCAAATGAGTGACTTGTTTAGACTGTCATGTTATGCCTTGCTTGATGTACTCTAGAATGGAATCATTCTATCTAGAAAGAAAGACGTTAGGGCAATTGCAGGTTATCAATATTTAGGAGTTATTAGTCGATTAAATTATGAAATGAGGACTTGGCCTGTGATTTAGTATGGAATAATATAAGGGAAAATCTTTCGTCGGTTTGGTAGCATCGAGTAATATGGCAGGATGCTATAAGGAATTGTTTTATTGATCACAGACATGCCGGTATAATCTGCCGCACTTTGTCTACTAGCTAATTGCGGAAGCAGGTCACCAATCGCTTCCACAAGACCCTACCGAACACCAGTCATATTAGTGATCCAATAATTCTCCCGTTTCTACAGGCCAATCCTCTTTTGCTTCTTGATGCGCTTACTACTCACTCCTTATAGCATGGAAAAAGTCGCTTTGGCTGCAGGCCTACATTATGTAAGTGACATAGTAAAGGGGGCTCCTGTGGTAATCGCAGCAGCTTATTAACTTCCTGGCACACTATTACAACGGTTTTGGATTGTCCTTCTTGGAATACGGTTTTCATGCCTAGCCAATTAACTTTCCAGTGGAACACGTTAACCTGCTTTTTCCAGTAAGGGGAAAGTAACGCAAGATGTGCGGAACGTCTATCTGTGAAGGCTTAAAAGTAGGCAAAAACCAAAGAGTCATAACCTTCGTTCTCCCGACGTACACCTAGCAGATCAGTATTTTTATGTGACATTGAAACTTCATAAATGGAAACAGAACATAAGATATTTATTAACTACTTCATATGTTGTTATATGTTGGCTTTGACAGCTTCCCGTTTTATTTGGATCCAGCCAGCCAGCCAGTTTAAATTCGCTTTTCAGTTACTTTTAACCCCGCTGGATTTCGAAAACCTTGAAAGACGTGAATATTGGCGAAAGGCGTTGCAAGACTTGCTTAGACGGGGCATCATCCCAATTCTCAATACCAATGACGCAGTCAAATGGAAGGGTGAATTGCAAGAAAAGGCAACATCGGTATGAACTCCGAATTTCCCAACTTTACCGAAAATACTTTTTACCATAACAATTCGCTCTGCTCTCGTTCACCACATCCATCTTTATCCATTGCAGCTGGATGGTTCAATCTCAAATACACCCCCTATTCTGCTGGATAACGACGCACTCGCCGCGCGTTTGGCCTCCGATATCAAAGCTGACCTGTTGATACTTGGCACGCGGGTTAATGGAGTGCATACAGCTCCGCCCGGAACCCCGTCAGCACACGCCCTCCTCGAATACGATGTCAGCATCGACCCCTATGTACACAACGCTCCCTCCTTGATAACTTATGGCACCTGCTCCGTCCTCGGGACGGGAGGGATGGAGGCTAAGGTTGCAGCAGCTGAATGGAGTGTTCGACAGGCAAGAAACATTCGTCTTTCGTTATGAGCTATACGAATTTCCATTACCTTGCAACTTCGTTGTTCTTGTCCAGTGAGAAGGCAGGCCAACTTAAGTAGTACGATGAAAAGAAACCTTGGAAAATAGTTTGCCGGACGGCTATTTATACTAAAAAGGGCAATATAATTATGGGATATGTGAAGCGCTGCAGGAGGCCTGCACTTGTTTGAATCGAACGCATTTCCATAAATACGGATGGCATATTTTATGCCAAACAACATTGGTTGGAAAAAGTAAGTTTTAGGAAAATAGCTTAACAAAATTCCTTGCAGTAAAAGAGAGAACTGTTTAGTTGTTAGGTGATATGATACTGTCAAAAATTGAAACCGGGCTCCCTTGGAGTCAACCACCGACGTTCCAAGTCATACGGTAGTGAATTTTTCGAATCTAGTCCGATTACTGTAGGTGGAAGTGGGGTATGTGGTGGTTGTGGCCGCTGGCGAGGCCTGGGAGTGTGCTTGTGGTGTTAGCTCATGTTCGACAAGAATACAATTGGAGTCTGTGGCATCAGCTGCTTTCATATGTGCGTTGAGCCGAGGCCAGTATAGCCTATTTTTAAGTGCTGTGTTTTACATTGCCCGGGGAGTGGTGCACTTGTACACCCCAAAAGCACGGACGGCTGTGACTACTTGGATACAAGTGTCGCTCCGTTGGCGTCAGTAGATTGGCATCAAGTCAGCGTGTCTGGGCCAGTATTAAGTGGTTTTGGAATAGGGGTCTTCACCGTGGAGTTGCGTGACCCTGAGAAACAGATGATGTTATGGAACAATAGCAGCCGGCTACAGACGATCCATATCTCCACGCAACCTTGACCAAAGCGCTGGTGTCTACTTGCAGAAAGGTAAGCAATTAACAGTCGAGGAGTTGGCTAGGTCACAGTTGGTAGCCTAACCCTAACCCTAACCCTAACCTCAACCGTAAACGTTAACCGTTAACCCTAACGGCAACCCTAATCGAAATCGTAAACGTAACCGTAGTCCTTAGACATAGCCGTAACTGAAAAACCTAACCGTAATATTGAAACCTAATCATACCCTCAAACCCTAACGGTAGCCCGAAAACCTAAGCCTAAAGGCATAACCCTAACCCGAAAATCGGAAACCATTAACTGGCACCCTAATCCTAACCTCAAACGTAAAACGGAAGCCAAATGGGTCAGATGTGATTATGGAGCCCCAATAAACAAACCCCCCGCCACCTGTAATACGGGTCCTGGCTACCAAATGCGATCCAGCTGAGGAGTTTCGCAGAGAAATCCGTGGTAGACTTTAATCACATCTTTTGACGCATGTATCACAATTAATCAGCCGTACCACCACTCCATGTCGGAGACATCTCGGATTTGAAGGTATGGTTAAGATATGACTGGCTGACGATGTTCTTGCATGACTTTGAGCACTGCCGACCACGGTCGACTGCGCATTAGCTCATGGCTATCCTGATAGGACGTTAAATTCAATCGTCAGTTGGAGCAAGGTTTTAAATTTGGGTCTGACCGGCCAGCGGTTAAGATATGGTCGGACGACGGCCCAGAACGGACTGTAAATAACCAGTTCAATCTGCCGTGACTTTTCCATACTACATCCCCGGAAGCGTTTTGTTTATTTTAAAGCTACGTGTGCGCGTAGCAGACAGTTTGGTCATGGAAAATAAACGATGTAATGCTGGTAGAATCATAATCGTCTCATGTACGTGTGTTGATCAGGCGGTCGGCTACCGCTGACCATGTTCCACTTACAAACTGAAGGCAACACTGTCCTGAACGACTTCTTGCCGATGGCTAGCATCAACCGACGAGGCTGAAGAGTTGGCGAAATCAAGACTTGAGTGTACGTTCCCAGCGCAGTTCGATTGTCGTTGTGTGATTTGCGCGGATGGTGTGCAAACTGGCCGAAGAGGATGGCTGTCTGACTGCAGTGGAAGGTTACTCGAGTTGCAGCCTGGGGTTAACCAACGCTGTCAATAGCACAGGCGCCAACGTGCACACTAAAATATGGCTATTACGACAGCATCCTAGTGCGTTGATTCGGTGCCCACAGCCCACTGTTCAAGGTGTTAACTGAACTCGAGGGCTGACGTGATTGAATTTGTTTGACCTGAACCTGACGCATACTGGTTTCCATGAAAATTTATACTAAAAAATTGTAACAAAGAAATATTACCGTGCACGGAATATCTACTTGAGTTAAAGAAAAATTTCTTCGAAAAAATAAAAAGGCAACTAAGTTGAGATGAAAGAGATGAACATAATTTTCTGCTAAA